TTGGTGGGCACCTAGCATCCAGCCAGGGTCAACCCACCACACCAACTGACCTCCAAACAAAAAGATGCAGAAGATAACAATTATCAAGGAACACATCTACTAAAAGCCAATATGAAGAAACAGAGAGTAAGTTTAAGAATGTTTATCTTCTTATCCTTTTCAAGACACCTTACTGAAATGAACACATAAGCTTATTTTATCAAGGAAAGTGAAAAAGCTGAAAAAGGTATCATATATGCAGTTCACTGTTCCTGCAAACAAGGCGAGCTGAGATTGCTGAATTGTACAAAGGCAGATCCAACACAAATGCAGAAAAAATAACTCAGTGAATAGCATTATGACCATGACAGAGAACTACAGATGCCTATACTGTCCCCTCTTCAATTCAGCACTGCCTAACTCTGTAATAGTGGAGACAGTTTAATTCTGAAAAAGTGAGATTGTCTCTAACCACGAGATCAATCAATGTGTTAAAGTAAAGCTAAGGTGAAGAAAAGCTCCAGACTGTAGTGCCAAGCAACTATTGGAGGACTGCTAGAAGACTACTTTCTTAATTTCTTTCTGAATAAAAGGAAGGAATACACAGAAAGTCAGGGCCTGGGAGTGGGTTTGTTCCTTTTTGTTTAAAAGAAGAAATTGTCAGTAATAAGTTTCAGAGAGCTAGCCAAACACAGTGGAGTAAGTTTTTAAAAACTGGTAAAGTAAGAAGCAAAATGGGGGAATGCAAAAAATCATTGCAAAAGAGAAGAAGTTGAAAAAATAAAACACCTTCTCTAAATGGCTGGTTTATACTTCACATCTCTGTTAGCACCAAAATAGGAGAAAGCACTCATAAGAAAAAGCTGGCACATGAAATGTCAGGCATGCGTATGTTCTGGGGTCACAATCAGGTAGTTTGTTAGTGAGAAGCTAGAAGGCAAGGACAGAGGAAAAGCTAAGACCATATTATCAAAAAACCTTGCAAATGAAAAATAGTAAGAACACATTTTACAAATAAATTTTTTTATATTTTGCCAAAATACTTCATGGAGTTCTCCTGCACATAAGGACTCAAGAGTTGATTTTATTTTTCTTTCTTCATATGAATACACGAAATAGGAAGAACGGAATATGAATGAATGAGATATGAAGTGCGTATCTGCCATTAAAGTAACTGCTTTAAATGCTATACTAATTAGATTCTGTGTTATAATAAAGTTAGTGGAATAAGTATCTATCTTGACTGTAAACAGAAGTTCTTTTTCCTCTTAACCACTTATGGACAGTATCTTGGCTCTGAGAAGCTGTAAGCCACCCTAAGTGCATTTGAGACTACATTTGCAGGAAGGAAAGAAGACTTTGAGAGAACTTCTTGGTGATACACAAGCACCTGTTATTCAGGAAGGTCACCTACCAGTACCAGGACAAAGGTCAGAGAACCCTACAGCTAGTCTTACCTTTAAACTTTCTACATATGATAAAACAAGCTCAAAAACCCAGAAAGATAACTTGTCACCAGCACAACCCAGTTCTTTATCTCCTCCCAAATCCAGACCACCCTTACGCTGCATCACACAAACTCTCAGTCAAGGTAACTCTTCAGATAGGAATGTTTTCAGGTAAAAGCCATAATCTGTCACAGGTACAGATAACACTCAGTTCCACCACAGGCTGAAAAAGGTTCGTCATGACTGTCTTCCCTGGTAAGAGGATACAGACACTTATTTGTCAGGGGATGCAATTAAGGGCCTCAGCACCACTTCATTAACCAGAACATGGGTATGAGAAAAATCATCCTTTTCCCTTTAGGTAATGGGACAGGTCTACAGCAGAACTTTAAATCAACTCATGCCCTGACCATCACTAGGCAGTTCTTTTAATCCTCCCATCAACCCTTCCATGCATACTCAGGCCTGTGGAAGCCCCTACTCAGATAAGCCCTTCCAGAAATCTGATATTTTTAAGAGCCTGCATTTTATTTCTTCCTGGCTGGTCAACTCATAGTTGTCAATCGTGGATTCTCTTGGTTTGCACATTAGTGACTTTATTCCTTTTGGACAGATCATCTCATCAGGTATTTAAGGTTTTGTATCTGGCTTCTATTACAAAGTGTCTACATAACTTTAGAGTAGAGTGCCCTATAAACAGAAAGCAAATGAATACACTGCAGAAATTATTACAAATACATGTCTATGAAATACAGAAAGGCATACATACAGGCAAACTAGCAAACACTTAAAAAAAAATAATCATTCAGCTATCCACTTAACAAGATGATTGTGTTTCTCCTTTTCCAATTCCTAACTATGAAATTATTTTAGCATGCCTTTCTGACATTAGAGATGCCCTCATCCTAAGCTGTTTATCTTCGCATCCTCAGAGACAACCTTAAACAGAGAAGGGAAGGAACAGACATTCAAAAAGAGGGAATATGTTGGAAGAAAGGCTAAATTAAAGCTTAGTTGGAAACTGTATTTAAGTATCTGTCTAGGTGAATACCAAAACAAACCTATTTACCTTTCACATATTTTTCTAAGAGCTCTTTTCTTATTCTATCTAATTACAAAATATGTATGTTTAAGGAGTGACTTTTCTCCCCCGTGGCTCTGCAGTGAAGTCATTACGCTCACATTGCGACTTAGTAATCCTTCTCCTTGGAAAAGATCATTATAATAACAATAATATGATTACACTAGAGGGTCAAAGAGACTGATTTGTGAGAGGCAATGCTATTCTCCATGGGAGCTGATGGATCTTAGATGGATAGAGGACTCCACAACCAGAATATCTCTGCCCTACTTAGGGAGCAGCATATATTGCTCTTTCCAAATCCAAATGCAGACCATGACCAATATGCATGATGAAACTAACTTCTTCTCTATATCTTTTATTACAGTTCTTACACATGGCCTCTGGAGGCTATTCAGCCACTCTTCTCAGAAAAGCTGTCACTACCAGGCCTGTTTTATCAAGATTTGCACAGAATTAGAGACTACAGCAATCATATTTTTTACTTCATAGTAAGTTTTGCATAGTTATTTATTGTGTTTGCTGTCATGGAGCTTATCCTTGTGACCACTGAGCGACAAATTTTCAAAGATCCTTTGACAGCAGTTACCTTTCCTGGAAGAATCAGTACCTGGAAGAGCTTTTGTATGAAAAGTTGCTCCATACAAAAAAAAGAAGGGGTCCAGAACAAAAGCAATCCTGGGACTGCAATTTTAAGCTGAAAGCCAATTCACATGAAATAGGCAGTATGACTTTATGAGTGGAAATTCTGGAAAACTGCCTCTATATAAAGAGGCAAGCTTTTCCAGGGCCTACTCCATTCTGATCTGACTGCTAAAGGGAATAGTTAGCCCAAAGCCAGTACTGGTAGGTACAATGTGGAATTTTATCATCTTGTTTCACTGCTTTGTTTCTGACTTCCCAAGCACTTTTCTTTTTATTACAAAACAGGATGGCATAAAAACTGACTTAAAATTTACACCTAGAACAATAATCTGGAGGCCATTTCTTTACAAATCCCTTATGATTCAACACATCTTCAATAATAAAGAACACAGAGGATTAGTGGAAGCTGGATGACTTTCTGTATAAAAGCAATTTTAAAAAAAAAAAAATTTACCCACATTTGAAACACCCTCTTTAAGATGTATCTGTTTTATTATTATCTAATTATTTAGCTACAATGATTTCACATTATCTTTTGATGGAAGGATTTGTGTTCACTCAGCCACAGGCCAATACCTTTCCCCAATAAGCCTTCTAAAGCCAGCTGTACTGCACGGTTTCAAACAGACTAAATTTAGCCAGTTCTGTTCATCAGAGGAATGCTGTGTGTCAGCTACATCAAAGCCCAAGGGCAGCCTGATAAACACTGAATACAGGTCACGTAGCTCTGTAGCTAACAAACTCTAAGAGAGCTTGTACTCGGGGGCATTCAAAGCAGTTTTGTCATCAACAATCTAGTATCCCTTGAGCCCCCATGTCGTTTCAGTTGCCAGGCAACGCTGGTGTTAATGTCTTAGAGGAGAAAAACTTACCAGGCATCTGGCCGTTCATCTGGTTCTGCATGTGTGGTGCAGGAGGGCCCCCACCTACCATACCATCTGAAGACATGTTGTGCGAGCGCGGAGGTGGGGGAGGGCCGCTCTGACTCATCCCTCCCGGACCCATAGGCATATTCTGTGTGGGTGGCTGAAAGGAGACAGTTTAGTCAAACACGAGAAGCAGTTAGTCTGACAAATATATTATATGTACATATGGTACAGCAGTTGCCTATATTGTTCAGCGGGGTATGAAAGAAAGCACTGAAATGCATTTCTTGCTCTGATACATTTAACTCCTCCCAATATTAATTTTGGCAAAGCATTTAACATTTCAATCAATTTTACGTGAAGTATTACATGCAGACAACACCACAGCACCTTCAAGCACCCCTTTATAATAATAAAAAAAACCCCACCAAACAAATCAATGCCTCATTAAAAAAATTGTATCTGAACAGTTTAAGATTGCTGGAGTCGCTCCCTCCCACACGCGCACAAGCTTGCCTTCGAAGCAACATTTGGTGAACAGAAAAATAACTCTTCCATTATAATTCTCTCACATCAACTATTTGTTACTGTTAACAGACCTTGCACCAGGACAAAACAGGTACAACAAGACATGAAAGCCTCTGAATACTCATAGACTAGCAAAAAAATTTGCACCTGGGTGTGGTAAAATGTTTGCGATCTCTTCCCCTCTCTCCCCCAAAGCGCTCAAGGCCTAGTTCATAATTTTGTGCCAAACACCCCCTACAGACTGGAAGCACATTAGTGCTGGCCTCCAAAGGTCCAGAGACAGCTGCCTAGAAAGGATGTTTTTGGCAAATTTCCTAATGAAATTGTGAGGAAAATAACTGAATAACCTTGAGAGTTCAAAGAGGGAGAGCAAGAAAAACAGTAAATACAAGGGGGAATTCACTAGTAGGTTCTACTCACGGCAGCGTAAGGAGATGCAGAGACTGCTAGTAGCCAGCTTCATTTTCCTATTAAAAACACCTGTGATTGTATGATCCTCTTCACATACCTTAGCCAAATGCTTTCAGGGGAATGAAAATCAGCTCTGAGAGAGCAAATCCCTGAATCTCTGGCTTTTGAGGACCCTCTCTAAAAGGCCGTAACTATTCATGCAAAACCCTTCCCGTGAGACAAACGTTTGTGTATTTTTCAACATTTCTCTTTGTAGAAAGAACCAAGGACGTGATCCCTAACTACCCATCTAGCCCAGCCCCCCTTATACCTACACCTATTCATCAGGACATTCATAAAGACAAGATGTAATACAGTGGAAAAGAGTAACACTTTCCAAATGAGTGTAAGGCAGGACCCCTTTTTGGCCTTGGAGATGGCAACATCTGGGTAATACAGACACACACACAGATGTATTCACTTCCCAGGGGAAGGGGGTAATGGTATTAATTTATTTTCTCAACATTTCTTCAAATAACTCAAGCAGGTATTATTTTCCCTGCAATATTTTTAAAAATTCCTCCAGAAATTAGTGAAAGGCTTTTTTTCAGCAGGAGGAAGGAAGGAGATGAAGGAAAATGCAAGCAAGTAGATGACTTCTCTTACTGAATTCCTTTCATTCCTCCACAATTAAGAGAATGACCTTTTATAAGCAAGCTTTTCCCTCATCCTATAGCAGAACTGGAAGAAGGTAGAAAAGATAAAAGTGAAAGGCAGCTCTAATCTGAACAGTGGGAGTGAAATGCTCCTCCATTTTGCTCGATCTTCCTCCACTAGTCAGCAACCAAAGTAAGGCTGCTTCAGTTAAGCCTTCCCTCCCTTCACCTTCAAAAGCTCACTATCATCCTACTTTTGCATCTAACAGATATTATGTAAAACTGATATACAGAGAAACAAACAAAAAAGAACAGAAAGAGAATATTTTTAATTTTTATTTAGAAAGTATGGTTTGGAATACCAGCAAAACCAACGCATTTGGTGCCTCCACACAAGCAGCTAGAGCTCAGAGCCTAACAACCCCCCCACATCACCAGAGAGCAAAGCCAAAAACCATTCAAGCTGAAATGTTTTCAGAATTAAAGTGAACTTCTTAGATTCCAAGTATAAATTATTAGTAAATCCAACGCTCACACAACATGCTGATAATGAAAAATACTATAAAGTACTAAAAAACATTAGATCACACCTAGGTTTTAGCTACCCTGCAGGTGTTATTGCACAAACACAGGCATGCCCTTATGCATGGAAAGAGGGACCAAAAAACCTCCAAAGTTTATTTGAGACAAAACTATATTCCAACTCTGAAATTTATTCTCGAAGTTTTCAAAACAACTATTGTTTAACACTAAGACAAACACTGCAGTGATCAAACAACAGTGTTGAGGGCACAAAAATTCAAGGACAGGGGAAAAAAATGTATTGAGGATTTTAAAAATCCCATTTGATACAAAAACCTGCAAGAGACTTCACAAACCACAGGGAATTGAGAGAACTGAGGGAATAATTAAAAACACCCAAAAAGGTACTACCAGAAGATAATTTAGCAAGAAGAACTTCTGAATATGGACACAGCCCAAAGACCTGCGTGAACCCATTTCAGATCTTGAAAATAATGCAAGAAAAAGGTCCAAGCTGCTAAAAAATGCAATCTTCCATTAAAATAAACTACCCCATAAGATGACTAGAAGGTAGGCGAACACTGTACCTCTTATTATAAAAAAGTAGTAGGACCAATTCTAGGAATTTTAAGTCTGTGAGTCTTGTTCCCCAAGCTACAAGTAAATTGATGAAAATAGAGTATTATAGAACTCCAAGGATGACAAAAATAAAGATGGGTTAGTAAAGCATCAATAGAGGGAAGTCAGATATTTCTAATCTATTAGAAATTTTCAAAAATATAAATTAAACCACTTAGCTGCATATTTAACAGAAACTTCTTAATGCAAGTTTTTTGACAAAGCTTTTTGGAAAAGTATGTTGCCCAGGGGTACACACCTGCACTGATCAGAAACTGCCCAAAGGGAAGAAATAAGAAATAATCTTACATGAAGTTCAAAGAATAGAGGAACATAGAGAGGTCACCTGAAAATATGTTAGTATATGTCAACATCTGAAGATGTTGCAACATTAATTACTGAAAACTGTGGAAGAAAGAATAAGCAGAATGGTGCTACATGAAATTCAACATGAATAAATATACAGCAATTACACTGAATTTTGAACCACTCTTTCTTCAGAAAAAACAAACTCCTATTGTAACTAGTCCAAAAAAAAAAAAAAAAAAAAACCAAAAAACTGAGCACTACCCAGAGAGTTTGGTGTGAAAAAATAATAAAAAAATAATCCATAAAAACTACTCATAATACCTGTGTTTACTTTCTGCAGTACTTGATATATCAAAAGTGAGGTATAATATGCAAGGAAAAAATGCCATGGTATTTGTGATCATGATGTATGTTCGCTTTGAAGAAAGCGATCACAAAAAGATACTGTAAAAGCAGAAGGATTCCAAAAGACAGGCAACTAGTGATTAAAGACTTTGAATGTTATCACCTGAACCAAGTAGAAAAGGACAGATTTCCACCACCCCCCCATCAAAGGGAAACAAACATAAGAGGCTATGACAGAAATACAATTTAATGTACGATACATACAAAAAGTAGATCATCCAATTTATGCTTTAAGAACAAAGAAAACCCCAGGAGAATAGTCAATAAATTGAGGAATAACATTAAACATACAAGACACCACATAAATCACATAAACCTGAGAAATTAATCAGCACAAGACACTGAACAAAGTTTAAATAAGATTCATAGATAATTACACATACATACATGCAATTGAAACAGTTATGTTATATAGTATATTATATAGGATATTTTAAAAGTGTGTTACAGGCCTTCATGTCAGGGTCATAAACCAATCACTACCTGAGAGTAATTAAAAAGAAATGCCTCCTGCAGATAAAATTATTTCCCAGTGAAATTCCTCCAGATTATTTTTCTACTGGCCAAGACAGAAGAAAACAAGAAAAAAAATGTTTTAAAAAGGCAACTTCCCTATTTCTGTCAAGAGTTGATCCAGGCTTTTATGGGTAATAAACTTCTTTTAAATCAGCTTTAATTTAAAAAAAGAAATAAAGAACACCCAAAACAAAAACTCAACACCAAAACCCCACAAAACCTGGGTCATTTAACCTTTTTTGTTCTTTACAGAAGCTAAGGAAATTGACTAACCCCAGTAACATGCACTATGCATGATAAAAATACAAAATGACCAGAGAGTATTCAAAAGCCAAATACTAAGAAAAGAAAAAAGAAAAAAGAAAAAGAACCCCCCCACACCCTTTATGAAAGGAAAGTTACCCAACATGAACCCTACCCATTCAGTCTAGGTATGAAGGGTGAAATCGCATCCAAATGTAGTTAGGTTAACAGAACCAAAGGCAAGGCTACTTTCCTACTTCCGCTGGATGAGTGACAGAAAGGAATGGAAATTAAAATCACTGCCAATTTTATTCCAATTATGAAGTAGAAAATGTTAAATATTTTACTATCAGTAAAAAGTCAATTGAAGAATTAGATGCAAGATGTTGGACATAGCTTCACTTGCTAAACACTAATTTTTGGCTTACTTCCCCAAAAACACAGATTACAATTTATAGCTGCTATGAGCATTTAAAATTTATCAGAGCATGAAAAAAAAATTATAAGCTGTTTTGTCCAACTTTGGAAATCTGAACTGGAAAAAAATTGGAACTGACCTGCAGTTGTAACCAAAAAAAGAGACAAGCATAAAACCCGTTAGATTTTAACTGGCAACTTTCAGCAAACAAAATCCTACTAAACCCAAAAGTTATTTGAAAGCATACACTTAAAACAATAACCAAACTGCATTTTCTCTTAAATAATAAATTAGATCACATGCAAGACAGCAAACAATAAAAGCTGCCATAGTGGAATTGTACACCTGGAAATTTCATCTATCATCTCTTCTCTGCCATATCAGATTTTTCTTACCATCAATAGCAGGTTGAAAGATTTGTTTATGGAACATTTATTGTTATAAAAACTGAGGTGGAATACCAACTCAGTTATCAATAAAACGTAAAAGACAGGAAATGCTGTTAAGCACATTAAAACACGGTATTGTTAATCAATACAAATAGCAATAGATATT